CAAATAGAAGGCAAAGCCCTGCTCTTCTCATCGCTTGATAAGAGGAGAAACAAAGTAGCTTTTTCTTCTAATGCACCTGGAAAACAGTTCTTCCTACACCATTGTTACAGAAAACTCCAGGCAACAAATAAATGTCCCTTGTATTTCCCAGAGCTGAGTTGAAGCCACCTATATTTTGCCAATCTTATTTCCAGATCAAAATGAACAGCCTCAGACCAAGCAAAACAAAACCTGAACACGAGAAGCAAAAAATAAACCGGAGCTCAATTTCTAAAGAGCTCCTTAGTCTGAGAATGCTATTTAACACCACCAAGAGCTCCCAGACAACTGCCAATCAGATTAAGGCCCCAAGAAAAGTCACGGAGAAATGATGACACTTTACCTTGAAGGCTTACAGATCGTTAAATTCATTTTCCATCAGATCAAAATAACCTATGCATTACCTCAGATTCGCGATGGCAACTTTAACTCACAGAAAGACTTCTTGTCCTGCAAAGGCTTGTGTCTATGCTTGCTCCAGTCCACTGGGAAAGCATGCAGATCGGACATGCTCATAAACAGCCTCCATGGACTGCATGTCACCAGGCACATCCTTGGGAGATGGACTAAATATCCATCTGAGCATGGGAACTCTATGGAATGTTTTCCAAGTCTCTCTCCTCACTGGACTTCATAAGACAATACTTTGAATAACTGGATATAAACACCTTACAATTCAGAGCAAGTGCACTCAAAACACATTTATTTGTCTTTGACCGTGGGATGCAAAGATGAATGCACAGCCAGAATCCCTTATCTCACAAAAGTTCTATCTAATTTTAACGATAGGGTCATTAGGAAGACGGTTATAAAAAAAAAATGGTACAGCAGCTAAGAAGATGGGTATTTAACCCTGCTTGATACTCTAGGTGTCTGTGCTACTCCAGGTGTCTGTGCTACTCCACGCATCTGTGCTACTCCACGTGTCTGTGCTAAGTTTTTAGGGAAGATGTCACACACTATTGGTCACCACAATGCATCACTAATTCTACCAACCAGAGATAATCAGAAAGCATTCCTCCTTGGCTTTTCCCCCAGGTGGACATAAGGTTATACATGTAAACATTTCTCATAACATTTAGAAAATAATGCATTTGGACATGTTTTATTCAAGTGTCATCATAATATTATATTTGTCAAAATGAGTCATTTCAAGGTTAAGTTTTTACTTATGAGGGTGACACACACATATATATGTGGAGGAAGGGAGCAGGAGAGGGAGGGAGAGGAGGGAGGTAGAGAGAGAGAGAAAAAGAGAGAGAGTGTGTGTTCCCATGGAGGCCAGAAAAGGAATGTACTTCCAGCTGGGCATACAAGGAAAAAGCAGTTGTGACAACCTGCCCCCTCTCAGACACAGAGGATGACTATACCACACAAGACTGAGTGTATGGTGGTAATGACCTTATCTCGCTTTCCCTCCTAGTTTGTGACACTAGGGGAGCTGCCATCAGTCTGGTCAACTGCTAAAGAAAATACCACATTTACCTTGTTGGCATGCATATTCTGTGAGAAAATGCTAAAGGCACTAAAAATAACAGTCCAGGTGACCAAGCAGGTAGCCAGATAAAGTAAGTACCTAAGGATCCTAATAGCATGACAAGGAAATCAAGCAGCAACAAGGGCAGCGTGTCCATGACTTTGCAGGTAGAGGAGGGAGGCGTGAGACACAGGCTGAGCACCCGAGGTGTAGGCAGGCAATCCCGGTCCTACAAATGACTGTGGGTAAAACTACAAGCCTCGGGCTCTTGCCCAGATGGATGAAGTTGGTACCCAAGGGGTAGAGGGCCAGCTGTGAGGCTACCATAATGCCTGAAGGGGAAAACAGTGGGATCTCAGGCAGTTCTGGGGACCTGCCAAAGAACCAAGAGGCAGTTTTACTTATAGACAATTCCTACTGTTTCCTGGTAAAATATTTTCTGGCTTAGGGACTGACCATGCCACCAAGATACTGCATCTGAGAGCACAGGAGGTCAGGGCACATGATTCTCTGCACAGAACACGTCCTAAGGGCTCCACTGAGGTTCCTGACGGTGACAAGGGTGGTCACAACTCTAAAATCTGCTAAGTTATACCCAGCACAGAAAGACTCACTCCATACTGGCTCTAGACAACAGGGAAAAAAACACGGAACCTCTTCTGTTTAAAACAAAAGGAAAAAAAAACCTGCAGTTGCAGCTTAGGAGCAGGTAGCTGCAAGCTCCCGGCAATGTGCAACTCCTCTTGGCTTTGAGAGATGGTGTGGACAGGCCTGCGCGTGTAAAACTGGTTTCATTAAAAGCCTCCGGTCATTCATTCTGCTTATTAAAGCCACTCCACGGTAGTATTCACAATGGAAATCTACGCTGCTGTAGCAATGATACTAAAACACAATTAATCCCTCTTCCTGAAGAGTGTAGGTTTGTGCTCGAGGTATAGTGTTAATTGCCACTGCCCTGTACCACAGCTTCAATTAGGAATCCAAATGGGAACAAGACAAACATGGATCCCATTAAGTTCCAGAAGAGTTGGAACTGAAGCCACACCCAACACACACACACACAGAGAGAGAGAGAGAGAGAGAGAGAGAGAGAGAGAGAGAGAGAGAGAGAGAGAGAGAGGCAGCTCCGCTTACTGAGACAGCAAATGGCTTCATCTGGGGAACTGTAGTGACATCCAGTGGCTGTCAAGGGAAGTACAGAGCCGTGTCTATGGAAGTGTATTGCTACAGAGACCTTTTAATCTTAATGTCTGTAAAACTGCATTATCAGAACCATGTCATACTATATCCTGCCATTGAACAATTCAAAGACTTAAAACCTAGTGAGGACATTTACTTTCAATTATTTAGCCACTTAAAATTCTCAGCAGTCAAGCGGCTGATCGTTCCCAGAGAGGCTTCAAGCATATTCTTCTTCCTTTGAAATTCAGACATTCCACAACTGTCTTGACCAAGAGAAGGTCTACCAACACTTTCTAAGCAGGTAAACAGTACCAACACCACTTTCAGAAGTGTGTGTGTGTGTGTGTGTACACATGCATGCGTACTGTGTGCATGCCTACCTGCCTGCCTTTCTGTCAGAGTCTGTCTATCTGTGCCAGGGTGTTGTATAGTAATCTCTTACTCAAGTAACCACATCTGACTTTCAAAGTGGTGCCTGAATCATAGTCAGAACCCCAAGTTTGCACCTCAAACACTTTAGTAACGGAGACATCTCCCAACTCGAGAATTCTTTTAAAGCACGTCCACCAAATAATTCTGTTGTCATCACCATATTTTTCAGAACAAATGAAACAAAGGTAAAGAATTATACAGTCATTCCAGAAGTGAATGACTGTCATGATGAATATAAAAAAGTCCTCGACAGTTCTTTTAATAAATCACTTGAAGTAATTTGGCTGTCAATAGTAAGTTATAAGAAATGATTTTGATGATTGCTCAGTAACATTTATATGGCAAAAAGAGAAGCAATGTGTGTGGCACATTGAACACCTGCCATCAGATATAAACATAAGACTTTGCAGGTGTGATTAAGTAAGGATTCTAAAATGATGGTACTGCTGTAGATGAAGAGGGAGGCTCTAAACATGGCTGGGACAATAACAGGGGGCTTGATAGCGACAGAAGAGAGGTAGGCTCTCAGACCAGAGGCTGATCAGAGAGATGCATCTTTGATCCAAGGAATGTTGGTAGCTATGAGAACTGAAAAGAAGAAAAAAGGCGAAAATTCTATCTTAGAGCCTTCAAAGGAATCGTGCAAGCCTTGACTTCAACCAAAGGCATTGACTTCACACCTCCAGGCGTGTGGGACAGTAAACAGCCCTGTTATAAGCAAACGAGTTCATGGTAACTTGTAACAGCAACCATGTGAAAGCAGTGCACAGTGGAACGCATGAAACAGCGTGCCAGGACTCACCCCTTCCTTTCTCATCTACTTAAAGACAAAAGCAGGCTTTGCCACCTAAACACCTACAAGAATAAGAAAGTAGAAAATAAAATTACTGCCAAACCCTGTTCTCACTCTAGAGGGCAATCAATTGTTTGTATTTCATTAAAAGAAGACCCTACTTCCCATAGCCAGGAGGATAACTATATGTTTTTCTTTGGATTCAACTTCTTATTTAGCTTCTTTAGGATCACCAATTATAGACTCCGTGACCTTTATTTATGGCTAGAAACCAATTATGAGTGAGTACATCCCATGTTCATCTTTTTGGGTCTGGGTTACCTCACTCAGGATAGTGTTTTCTATTTCCATCCATTTGCATGCAAAATTCGAGAAGTCATTGTTTTTTACCACAGCGTAGTACTCTAATGTGTATATATTCCACACTTTCTTCATCTATTCTTCCAGGGACAGAAAATTAAAATAGTTTCTTGACTGTAACAAAAGATCTATTAGGTAGCTAAAAGTCTTCAGCCATAGTTGATTGAGTACATTTGTCAAAATTTTGAGGGGTGTTATAAAAATGAACCATGAGCGGTGCATTTTTTTGGTAAAAAAAAAAAGAAGAAGAAGAAGAAGACCCTAAAACTCTCTGCACAATCCACAACCCAGAGAAGTATCCCATTAAATATTTGAGAAAAGATACTATTTTAAGTTTTGATTACATTTTTAAGTCTTCAAGAAAAATCTAGAGTGTATACCAACACTCAAGCAACCAAACAAAATCTTTTTCTGCTAACTTCTTGAGAGATTTTCCTGCATTATTATGAGATTTGACAGTGAAATTTAACTCCATCTCGTGGTTCCACAATTGATGTAGCTCCATCATGATTTAACTAAAGAGGGTGACAAATTCACACCATTTCTACCTTTGTTCCTATTCTGTGCTTTCTTTGTCCACCATCCATGGCACCAAATGAAAGAGAAAGACTACTTAACACCTAGTTATCTGGTTTTGTCTACAGGAAGAAAATTTTTGCCATCTGGTGGTTGTGTATCCAGAAGGGACACTATTAGACAGTAATCTCATATTCTTACCTACACCGGTGTGAGCCAGGTGCTCAAAAAGGGTCCAGCTGTTGTCATCCACATAGTGGTTCTTCAGGATCAACAGCTGGCAAACATCTCGGGCGGTGATGTCGCTGGGCACTTCTAACGCCCGGCTGGTCTCATCCTCGCTGAAGACTTTAATCACCTGTGTTTGTAAGAAACAAGAGAAAGAGCTCAGGGAACCCTGCTTAGTGTCTTGGTTCCTTTTCCATGACAAAACCCCTGAGAAAAGAAACTGAAAGAATGATGGGTTGATTTTCGGTTCATAGTCACAAGAAATTTGCGCCATCTTGGTGGGTTGTCATGGTGACCGGAGCTTGAAGCACCTGGCCACAGGGCATCTGCAGTCAGGAAGCAGAGAGAGATGGATGTTCACGCCCAGCTCACTTCCTTTTGGGTACAGAATCCAGGGCCCAGCCCATGTAATGGGGCCACTCACATTTACATGAATCTTACCATGCCAATGATCACAACCTGAATAATTCTTCAAACATACCAAAGCTTCTGTTTCCATGGTGATCCTTTCTATCTCAGATATTCAGCATGAGGTTGGCTTAACTAATAAAATGGTTACCATGGAAGCAAACTAATATGTCAATCATGCCCCAGTTATCCACACTCTGCTTAATGCCAGAGAGCTAAGATCACCTGCTCTGCCACACCCCACATGACACTAGTCCACACACATGTTGGACTTTACAAGCTGAAGACTTTCTCTTCCCAGATATCTGCTGATTTGCATATACCTGCCCACCCTTGAACCCAGTGCCAATTGCCTTGTCTTGTATAGCTATAGATTTGATATTTTTTCTTCAGTACTTCCACAAGTAAATAATATTATAAAATATTGTCCTATGTCTGTGATTTCACTTAACAAACCGTCCTCCAGGTTAAGACATGAGGCAAATAGAATTATTTATTTTCTTTTGACAGAAAGTCTTACTATATAGCCTGGGTTGACCTCAAACTATTTAACTCAGGCTAGCCTGAAATTATCAGTGGTCCTTTTGCCTCAGACTTTCAAATGCTGAGATAATGGGCAAAAGTTACTATGCTTGACTCAGGATCTCCTCCTTCTAAAAGGTCCATTATGATCGCATATACACATAAACACTACAGCTTCTATATACATCTTTCCACTGTGGGGACACAGGTGGTTTCTATACTGTGGCATCATTAATAACTTTACAATGAGCATGAAGCTACAAATGCCTATAACAGATAGCAATTTCAGTTCCTTTGAGTGCCTACACTTGTGCACCGGGTCACGTGGTAGTTCTCTGTTGAATTTCCTTAGAAACATCTCTGCCATTTCTTATAATGACTAATATGCCCTTCTTCCTGCATCCAAATGGAAGCTTTTCTCCTTTCTGCTACATCATCTCCAGAGTGACGTCCTCTGGTCCCTGGGAGATGGCACCCTATAGTGTTTCTGATTTATACATCTCAGTGCTCAGGGCTTCTCACAGCCCTGTCACCTGACCATTAGACTGCAGGGAAACAGTGTCACTCATTTCTCACTCTTATTACTTTCTGATGTTGAGTTGTAGGAAAGAGATAGCAGCCTTATCAGATATATGACGCTCAAATATATAGGCAGTTCCTTGCTATATGCAGCCCTTCATTAAAATATTCCATTCAAACAAATGTCATTCTTGTAAGTCATCAAACTTGCCAACTGAGCATAAGCCCCCATAAAATTCCTTGTGTATTTCATCTTCCTTCATGCATCCACACCCAGGCACCAAGCCATATTATTCAACATCTCTCTTTTCTCCATTGTCTAAACTAAGTTCCGCTTGATGGCTAGTCTGGCATTTTTCTCACCCTCAGGTCTATTGAAAGCTATGAGCTTCTTATCAGTATTCTACATTTTTCTTTCCATATATAAATTTTGCAAACAATCCAAGGAATTTGGGTGCTCTACACTGAGACATAGTCATAAAACCCAGAATACAACAGACTATATCTAGACAGACATTGGCGTTTCAAGTACAGCAGTTTGGGCAAGGGCTCACTAGGTATTCACATGTCCCTTTAACACTCCCTTTCTCTCCTGCAGTCCATGTGGCCATGGAATTGAGTTTTAGTCAGCAGAACGCAAGCCTGTGGAACAGTGAGCCTCTAGATCTGTCCCATAAAATTCTACCACATGTCCTGATTGTCTTTCAGCACCCTCCCACAGAATAAAAACAACTGCACAGCCTTGAGGAGACTAAGGTCATGGACAGAAGGAATTCTTGTCTCCAAATGACTTCAAGGACAATTCTCCACTAGGAGTATCCTTGTGAGTAAGAAGCAAGTGTATGTTCTGTTAACTCTGTGACTTAGGAGTGAACAACTAGAGCATCCAATGTCCAGCTGAAATGACACAGAGTTAGAAGTTCCTACAAAGGAGCCACTCGGCATTCACCAAGCTGTGCTCTGCACGAGACTCCCCAGTATCAAGAATTATCTGTATGAAGCTAGTAATCAGACAAGCATACACATGGCAATGGAGCCATTGCGGAGCTGTGTGCACAGACCAGAGTGAGAACGAGAATATGCAGTCCAGAAAACAAGCCTATCATAGGAACACCAGCATTTACACATGGCCAGAAAGTCAAGCAAAGGCAATAGAGAAAAATATCCCTGTTCAGTCTTTATGAGACTGGCGCGCTACCTACTGCGCTGAGGCACGTCCTGTTCAGTCTTTAAAGCAGCCTTTATTGTATTACAATGAGGTAAATTCTCTCTTACAATGGAGAGGTGACCTAAGGTGAAAAATCCTTCTGTGTATTAATGGGAGGATATTTATCGAAAGTATTAAAAGGTTCATTCCTTTGACTCAGCAATTTCACTTCAGCAAAAATATTTTTAAAAAGTTGTTTTGCTAACTTTCGAAAGTGACTTTTAGGCCAACAAAACATTCTTCCTAATTTTAATGACCTGAGTTATCAACAATAAAAGGAAATAAAAATACCTCCATAGAACAGACTGTTGTTTGGGCAATCTTGAAAACATTACCCAAAGAAATTATATAAGAATATTTCGAGTCAGGCATGGTGGCACATGGCTGTAATTGCAGTACTTGAGAAACAGAGACAGGGTAATTCAGAATCCAAGCCCAGCCTTGGCTACAGAGTGAGTCTGAAGCCAGTCTGAAAGGTGGGGTTTAAAACATTTACAGCATACAACAAGCTTCCTTAGCCTTGGCTCCCAGCCTCCTCTCCCTCTTTTTATAACTGTCATTCCTTTTTAACCCCCCCCCCCACCCGCTTCCCCATCACCGTGATCAACTATCTTTTCAATTGTGGCTACTCCTTCTCCAGCTCAGACACACTCTACTTAAGTTCTGAGGCTGGATTTGGTGGAACCCCAAAACTGGGAAAGCCAGGGATATGGAAATGAACCAGAAAGGCCAGTGTGTAAGAGCCAGCAGAACTCATACAGATATCTGTTTAACAATCACAGTATGGGATCTCTTTCCTTCAGTGCTGTAGGTGTTGAGATGTAGACCAGAGCTGCTACTGGTCAGAAACACAGTGGTAGATGCAACCCAAATAGAAGAAGTCACATGGCAATATGCTGAATGTTTGTGCCCAACACAATTCGTATGCTGAAACCCTAATCCCAGAGTGGTAGGATGACCTCTGCTCTGGCCTTTGGGGGGTGATCAGAGTAGGGAAGAGGATCTCTTGGTAGCAATCAAGGTTTTACGGAATGGGTCACTCTGTGATCCTAGGGGATAGAAAACATGACATAGGCCTATAAGCTGTCTTTCCTGTATCATGTGATGCTCCACCTGGAACTCACGTCTGTGCTCTACATCGCCCCCCCCCATGTTTATTTTGGGAAATTCCTACTTATATTTCACCTGAAATCAAATGAACTCCTCTTCAGAAGACTGTCTTGACTGTTCAGGACTTCATGAAGTATCCTACCCACCTGTACTAGCAAGCCCCCACCCCCAGGGCAGTTTCTCTTTATTCACTATTTACATTTGTATCCCAGTGAGCTGCCTTAGGTCATCCTGGCTTAATCAAACTCTGTCAAGCAGATGCAGCCAGCATCCACAGCAACGGCTACCCGCATTCTACACACAGTCAACATTCAATATACCTTCTTGGCATTCATTTTAAAACTATTTTCCACCACAGTAATTATAATTACTCAAAAAAATCTTTGCTGAGGAACGTTCTTGGTACACACAACTTTTCAGTGGGAAAAAAACAATTCCAGGTTGGAACTGATTCAATATGGCAGACCGGAGTTGCAAAGCCAACGAGGCGGCCATGGAGTATCAGGATTGTTGCTAAACTTCCTTTCCCATCATCATCTGTCTCTTAGAAATTCCCTGTCTGGCGACTTGTGTGGAGTTTCACGGTGCTGTGTTATCATCTTGGTAGGCTGTTGCTTGTAGGGCATGCCTCCTACATCTGGGTCTGGACTAGACCAGGGCTGACTTTCTACCGGACACACCCACTGTGCCCACGCTGCTGTGCCTACAGTGTATTTGACCAGACTCTGAAAGAAGCCCCTGCCAACAGTCACATGAGCATAACCGGATTCAGTGGAGCAATGGTGTGTCCCTGAGCCAAGAACCCAGGCAGGGTGCCTGGAGAAGGATGGGTGAGCTGCAAAGACCCCTGCAGCTTCCTGACTGCCCTGTGTATTTTCTTACAGCAAACTCTCATCACCTGGTGCTAGAGAGGCCTGCTTCTTATTTTCCATTTCCACCTTACATTTCACGGAAGCTACGGAAATGCAAAAGCTGGAGACACTCAGAAGGTATGCACGATGGTAACCGAGGGCAAGAAAAGCACAGGGCAGAAAAGAAGGCTGGGAAGCAGACAGTTTATCCACCCACCCAGGACACCATTGCTTTCCTCCACTGTCACAAATGATCAGGATTGTAAAGAATTGAGACATATGACCTGAGAGCCTCATTATTTTATTATGCCTATCAAATACATCTGTTACTAGCATGTAAGTACTACTAAATTAAATTTCAGAAGCAAAGCCAAAAGAAACTTTTCATGAACTTGGGTCAGAAGGCAACTGAAATTCACGGAATAAGTGTTATTGATTTCAAAAAACAATATGTATTGAAAAGAAACAATACTTTGGTTTGAATTCTATTTCAAAGCCAGATTTTGGAAAAAA